ATCTGAGACGTATAAAAGGTGTGCAGTCTTAGAGCATCCCAAAAGCCTCAGCATTTCCACGTTCCAGCCACTGGTGAACTAAGGTAAGTCAGGCAAAGGAACGCCTCTCCTGCGAGCCTGGTTCTAAATGGTCCCAAACTCCGCGGGCAGCTGGGGCTGGCACAATGGGTGGCTGGCCAGAAAAAAAGGCCTCGTGTGGGCACCTCTCTCGTCCGTATCATTTGGGATCCACCTGACTTGGGTTACAAGGCAATATCTGAAGTGTGTGGGGTGGGGGCTGAGATGGGGGTCCAGGGTGTGATCAGAGTCCTGTGTTGAGGATCCTGCTGGTGTGTGTGGTGGCGATGTTGTCGTGGCCAGGAGCTGAGCGGAGCTGGTTTGGAGAGGGTGGCACCAAATCTAGGGCAGGGCTGCCCTGAAGGGAAAGGCCAGTGCAGCGAGGCAGGAGAGCTCCTCAGGGAGCACGGGGCAGAGGCCCAGGGAGCTCAGAGCAGCAAGGACAAGAGGACGTGGTAAAGCGGCCATGTCCTGCTCTGGGAGTCGGGGACCATTGTTCTACCCCCGTGTGCTCAGTGCCTGGGGATCCATGACTTCCCTCTCTAAGATTTGCATTCTCCCCTAGAATTTAGTATCGATTTAAATGGTCCTTTTGTCTCTAGATGCCTCTTTTCTATGAATTCTCTTAGAGAGTGGTTAAGATGCTCCTTTACAATTGTTCGATATTTATTTAAAAAGTCAAAATCTTTAAAAGAGCACTCAACCTGTTTTGGTTCTCGTGTGTGTGTGTGTGTGTGTGTGTGTGTGTGTGTGTGTGTGACCACGCGATCACACACACACGCACACGCATATAACTTTACACTCATATTTACCTGTGTATTTACATGTGTTTGTGTGGAGTTTTATATGCTCATTTAATCCTTACAAGAACTTTAAGAAGAGCACAGAGAAGTTAAGTAACTTGCTCAAAGTCACACAGCTGGTTAATTTTTGAGACAGGACTCACATCCAAGAAAATCATGGTCTAAATTCCACAGTATCTGCTGTGGAAGGATAATACTTTTCGTTCTTATTACCCCTGACCTTCCTTCTTATTCTTTCCTTCTCTCTCCTCTCTCTCTCTGTCTGTGTGACTCTCTCTCATTTTTTATATCTTTGTTTTTCCTACCCCTCTCCATTACTCTTCTCCTTTCACCCTTTTTTCCTCTCTTTCTTCTTTCCTTCCTTCCTTCCTTCAATATTTCTTTATTTGTCTCAATTAAAGCCTTGCTATGGCTTACAAACTGTAGCTACAATTTATACTGACGCACCTCACTGCACACACACACACATTTAATCGGTGAAGCCACCAGGCCAAGGTTCAATCGGCACAGGTTTGAACGAGGCAAGTGGTTCTCCTGCGTTGAGTGTCTCTAAGGATCTAGAGTTCCTCACTTCAGTGTCTTTTCCATTGCAGTGCACATCCAGACCAGAATGTATCATCCAAAGCAGAAGCTGTGCTGCCCGCTACCCAAGTATTGCTGCCCCCCACCCCAGCCATGCTGCCCCCCACCAAACTATTGCTGCCCCTCAACAAAGTATTGCTGCCCCCCACCTCAGCAGTACTGTCCCCCTCCGCAGCAATGCTGGCCCCGAGCACAGTACTGTTTCCCCCCACCAAAGCACTGCTGAACTCCACCTCAGCACACCAAGCAGCCTTGCCAGCCTCCACCCAAGGGCAAGGAGCCCTGTGTCCCAACGTGCCCAGCCCCTCAGCAGTGCCAGAATTCCAAGCAGAAATAAACCCCAGGCATGCGCCAGAGGCCAAGCTCCCTGCAGAACAGAGAACATGAAGCCCACTCCCCTCTCTCAGCCAGCTAGCTGTCAGCACTTCTCACCCCCGGCTTCTGGAAGCAGCCACACTTGTGGAAAAGGCAGCACCAAGATGGCAGCTTCCTGGATCAACAGTTCTTATGAATTAGCAGCCGCAGTTTCCATTTAGCAAAGGATCCGTTTCTAAACCGTCTAATCTTCTTTGCAGACTTGTATACTTTGCCCTTTTGGCTGCTTGGAAACTTAAGCAGCATGCCCGGCCACCCTTTGCTAGCACTCTTCGTCTCTGCTCCCGTTTTTCAAACAATTAAACACAATTCCACTGCCATGAATGTGTCAGTTTGATTATTTCGTCATCTTAAATGCAAATTAAAATCTGCAAAATCCTGCATATTTTTTATCTTGCTGCCTAAATATGAGCCCTAGGAGGGCTGTACATGTGGGTTCAGGTAGAGCAGAAGGCATGCGGAGATGCACTTCTCAGCTGAAGGACATTTTCCATGGTCCTGCCAGGGTGAGGAGGAGAGATGGGCACTTCAGCTGCATGGAGACACATCCCCCCATACTTGCAAAATGAGAACAGCCTTTGGACACAGCGGAACAGATGCCGGTCTTGAAAATGGAGGCACAGAAAGAGTAAAGGAAACCCAGCCAGGAGCTAAATAGTAGAGCAGAGGCATATAAGTGGAAATTCAGAGAATATTCTAAGGACATGTGGGTCAAAATGAATTGATGACCGGGCCGCAAAAAATCTCCCACTGGTAAAAGAAAAGACGAGATTTTGTTCAAGCTAACAAAATGTGTAAGTAGGAGACAGTCTATGTAAAAATCATACATCCATCACACACACATATCCACTGTCAATAGTTTTTAAAGTCATAGCACCCATTGATTCTCTAGCTTGGGGTTTCTTCGGGGCTATTTTTTCTCACTGCCCTCTTATTTGCCATTGCCTAAACCCTTGCAGTATCAGGGTAACCTGAGTAACCGGTGGTAACCTCAGGCCAACAGGTAAGCCAAACTTCTTCTTTCTATTACGTCTACTACACCCATACCTTTCCACCGAATCCTTCTCTCACTAAAAGTCCCCAAATTGAGGTCTTTGCATCTCTTTTCCTATACCTTCCTCCCATTTCACGTTTCTGGGCTACAAGGGAATCACTGAAAATCCACAGAAGTACCCAAAGGAATCAGAAAGGAACAAAACATAAACTAAATGTGTGAATTATCCCCAACATAGATCGCAGAGCATGTAGAATTCAGAATACGCAAAAGACAAAAGTTTTAGTTTAATTTAGCATTGCTTCCATGCTTGGCTGGTCTCTTCGTCCTCCACCACCTCTGTTCATTCCCTTCAACGAGGCTCCATCCATCTACCTGTTTACCCATCATCAGTCCATCCATCCCAAGCAGCAATGCATCATCGCATCCTTTGTAAATACCTGCCCCTCCCTTTGTTTAAAATGTGATGGATGCTGTGGAAGCACAAACTCACACACAAGGCTCGAGTACTCTTGGTTTAATCCCCATAAGGAAACCAATCTCAGACCGTCCAGACAACAAAAAAACATTTTGACTGGAAGACGTCTAATTCATGGACGACTTGGAAGCCACAGATACGTCATGCCTGCCGACAGAATTCAGAGGAGACAGAGAGAGAATACTGAGGGCTGTTGAGTGGAGGAAGGAGAACTTGGCCACCTGTGTCATAATGGCATCCACCACAGCGCTCCCTGACAATGTCTTTCCAGGAAGAACGCCGGCAGAAGGGAGGTTCAGAGCGGAAGGACAGCGGGATGTGTGCGTGTAAGCAGCAGTGCGTTCCAGGGCTGCGTAGAGCAGCAGCCAATGCTGCGATTGCTAGTGGTCCCCAGGAGGCCAGTCTTCAACGTCTCAGCCCCTGTCCGTGGTGGAGAGAGCACATAGCCTCTGCAGCCACCTGCACCATTTGACACCACGGAAAGCTGGGGGGCGCGTCCAGTTTCCAGACCTATGTGTCGTAAATATTTCCAACAGAGCATTTCATTCAACAGAACTCAACGATGAAACACAAAATGAATTGAAAACTGTAGACACCTTAAGTAAACTCCCTGAAAATGATGAGCTCTTTGAGCCAATTCCCCACCCTCAGATACCTCAGTCCACACAGGCTCCGAATAGCACCTCTCTTGCCTCACATACATGACCTTGGCCCAGATCTCTCATTTGGGTTCTTATTCTGTATTTCCTCACCCTCCCTCCCTCAGCTGATTAAGACAAGGTTGAATTTTGCCTCTCTGAGCTTCACTTAATTTTCTTCTCCACTAATTATCATACTAGGATTGTGTGCACATGGGGTTATGTGCGGACCATCTTGCGGAATTTTCCTTTATCCCGTTATAGTGGGTTTGGATGGCAGATGCATGTCTATGATGGAGTGAATCCAATACTTCCCTAGGCCTCACTTTACTCATGTGTATAGTGGGCAGAATATTGTCTGCAACCTGGGGTTGACGGGGAGGGGTCTTCAATGAGACAATGTAAATAAATAGTAAGTAGGATGTAACACATAGTAAATGTTGGATGAATGTTAGCTCTTGCTTTTCTTATTATTCTCCACTTCCTGACAGAGCAGCAAGACCCTCCACTTATTACCACCAACCTGACGTCACGGGCTCCACACCTTTAGTAAGAACAAAGTGTGAGGGGCAGGGCACATCTTGGGGCCAGGACAAGGAAGAGTTGTGTAGACCAAAGCATCCGAGGGGTGTTCACAGGCGGAAATGGCATTTCATCCAGGACCTATTCACCACATTGGGTGGTTGCCCTTTTCTTCCACAAGCTTCCCCTTTGAAATGCATGCCCATGATGATTCCTGCTGTTGAGGCAGTCCTTGGCAGCTCTGGCCCATAGTGACTTTTGCCTATCAATGTACACAGGCAGCCATGTCTTTTAGAGGCAGACCCTATTCCCAGGAGAAGGCTCATAAGTCGAGGAAACATGGAGAGGGCACGGCGTGTGCCAAGCGCTCACACATAGATACCACCATATTGAAGCAGGTCTTGCTCTTCCTGTGAGAGGTAGTGGCTAGGTGAAGAGAAGCTCCTTACGTGTTCAGTGTAACAACACCTTGCACGTGGTGGAGGTGAGATTCAAATGCTGGTCCTTATCTTGGCAACATGGCAAGTGCTCTGACCGTTCTAGTGGCTGGATGAAGCATAAAGCCTGGATCCCGTCTTTCCAGAATTTAAAACTCACTGATCCGTTGGGAAGGCAAAGGCAGTACGTTCAAAAAGTAACACATTCACACGTATTATTACAGGGCTACACGTTCATATCCAAGACACACATGGGGTTGTTATTCAGCATAAATTCTCCAAGTGTGAAGACTTCCACTGACCATGGAGAAAAGAAGATGGAGCAGCGTCCCAGAGGCCCCCGCTGGGACACGCGTCGGCCTCCCAGCTGCTCCACGCTGTGGGACTGACCTGGCCACCTGGCAGGGTGGGCGCAGGCACACAGACCGGCAGGGCAGTTGGTGTAGAGCCTAGGAGCCACCTGTTACATAAGTTCTTTTCACATTTCAGCTATGGAGTCAGCAACACCTCTGCATACCTCTTGACTCTCAGCCCTGTGCACACTCACCCTCGCACACTCAAGTTCATATTCCCACATAGATCCATTCATGACCCCTCACGTGAGGCCACACACAACACACAGAGACAAACCATCACAAGCTGTCAATCACCCTGATATATGTCTTCAGTCACCCACACACACTCAGAGACTCTCCAATGCACCAGCACGGATGCTCACACTGTCTTTCTTGTTTATGCGCATCGCCCCAGAGCATACAGTTCAGAGCTCCCCAGGCTTCTGCAACATTCCAGCAGATTATCGACCCTTGACCTTGAGTGAATTTCCAAGCAGAAAGATCTCCATATGAAGGGGATCATGCTGAGGCCTTTGAAAGAAGGCTGCCTTCCTCAGGGAAGAATATAGTTACATCTTCCAAACAAAGAACTTCCCTAGGAGGTAGTATAGTGCAAGAGGAGGAACACACACACATATCCTGGGGCCTGGCAGGGCTGAGTTAAATCCTCTCTTCCCTACTTTTTCCTTAAGTAACTTTAGCGAACGGAAACTTTCGAAGCTGTAGAATGAGAATAGCTCCGAACGCAAGGCCTGAATTAGAAACTCGAGCAGAGATTGTGACAGTCAGTGGAGGACTGCCCCTCCCGCATCCTCCCAGGACAAGACCCTTTGAAAAGGGAGGGCATCTCTTAGCCGCCTAGATGATGGCAGAAACCCTGCCGTGCCCCAGGTGATCCCCAGCTGGCGACGGATTTCATCACAGAGGCTCTAGCTCCAGCACCAGGAGTCCTTTGTCCGGACACTGTCTGTTGATGCGGCTGGTCCCAGAGGGTCAGCTCGGCCTTCCCCTGCATATGTGTGCATGGCCCTGGCCTGGTGTTCATTCACAGATGCCTGGCAGAGAAGATACAGTGGGATTAGCCTGCGCCCAGGTTTTGTTGAGACCTCCTTCGTCCCAATCGTCCCTTCTGCCGTGTGTGTGTGTGTGTGTGTGTGTGT